ATGTCCCAATTGCATGGTGAAGAGGCTCATTCAGAGTGATTTTGTGATATTTCTCTTGTACTCGAAAACCTTTCATAACTAAGCGCGCACTGTAATTCTGCGGAGAATTTCAGCATATGAAATATAAAACTGAAGATGGTGCTCCAATAAATAAGTGTATTTGAGGGTAATAGCTGATTGAAGACAGATACAGAGATCAAGTGATGCGCAATCAATGAGAGATAGGCGACATGACTGAAAAGCTTAGCAGTTTCAGGCAGATTTGACATTTCAGCTATATTCCATTAACTAAATCTGTTGCTGGAATGTAACAATACAGCAATCATATGTTTTCCATGTATAAAGAATAATTGCTCGTTATCTTTACGGGTTCTGATCTCATTGCATAGTTCGTGTGAGTGCGTTTATGGTGAATGGAAATTGTTTGAAGTTGCACTTCAAACAATTGAGGGATAACGTTTTGTCATACAGGAGTTGACGTTTTGTCATGCAGCAACCTGTCGCTGTGATGTTTTAAGTTCGATTTTTTCGTTTTCTGAACAATTTGATTCATTGAGTGTACTTTTATTGTTGCGACTAGCGCGAAAAACCGGCATAAATGAATAAAAATGATGATTAAATCGAAGGAAGATAGCACTTAAATAAAATGAAATGATTGTGTAATGGGCCAGTAGTGTACTGAGGTAATGCTGGGCTTTGAGGATCCGATGTGTTCAGAAGGCGTGAGTTCGATTCCACGACGGTCGAAAATCTTTGACGAATTTCAATATCATTGTTAAACGAAATAAAGAAATAACAAACTAAAGCGAAATTGGAGAAGGCTCAGTTGCGACATTTATATCGCATTGCCAAAGTAGGCACAATATTGTACAACACAATAGTGAATTGTTTCTTCTGTTTGCAAGCTCCATTCCCTTCTTCGACGGCCTGGCTGGCCATCGTTCCCTTACAATAATTTACAATTTCCACGTATAATATCAGAAAAACCGGAAATCGCTTCGGAAATTCCCAAGTTGCGTGAAAGTAATCAATTCTCCTGAATTGAACTATTACTTTTAGAACTTTATTCGCCATTTGCAGAAATNATGTGTGTCTCAGTAAATAAAAATGAAGAGCAATGCACACAACCATTTTTCGGTGATGAAAAAATGGAATTCATCAACGTGGCCATTTATTCATGTAAACGGAAGATGCAACGAACATTTGAGAAGTGAATTATCTTCGGGGTGAACGAATAAGCAATCGTTCAATCAAAGTGACAGTTAAGGGATAATTGAGAAGTAATCAGTTGGTGTTTATGAACCCTAACTACGGTGGACTTTGAAGTACAACAAAGTGCAGAAAGTTTACAATTGTAAAAACTGCTCTGTCTTAAAGTTTTTTCTATAAGTGTGCAAATTCCGTTAATTCACACTCCATGACCGATTGTTATACAAGGATTCTAAGAATTACATTGAACATGCATGAAAAAAACATTTTAAACCATTTAAGTGATTAATATCACACGAAATGTTTGTATTTCTCAAGAAGGAGTTAGCGAAACCAGATGGAAATACATTCGTATGCGATTGAAAAAGTAGATTTTGCCAGAGATCGGAAAAAAAGGTCGATATCATCACCTGCAAAGAACTGCACTTATCACAAAATGATCTGAAATGATCTGAACATGATGAAAAATTGTTCTTAATGAATGTAACATTCAATTGAAGTAAGATTTATGGAGCATTTTAAAACTCATAAGCAGTCTTAAAATGCTAACGAAAAGTGCAGACGAACTTATTTGCAAAAACTAATCATTCGGTTACATCAGCACTAAGATTTACGATTCATTGATCTAATCAGTAAATCACAACTGGTGACAAGATTTGTTGAGAAGATGAGTTCAAGATCGTGTTCAATGGGAGCATAAAGTAGCACATACTGCACAAACCAGTTTTGAGAAAACACCATAGCAATGGCGTTCCATCATCAAATAACATCTCCCCGGAATATTAATTTGAGGACCCTTTCAATTCCTCCGCTGATACCCCCAAATTTCACTAGGGGAAATATATCCCATCCGCTAAGGAACGTTGGTAGAGTTCTGCACACTTCTTCGAAGAATCTCATATGTGTTTGTCTCGTTGTGATATTCTGTGAGGTTAGAAACATTCATACAGCTATAGCAATGTTCGATCATTTACAGTATTCTGGATCTAAATCCTGAATGTGTGATCAGCTGTCGAGAGTATGGTATTTAAATAATGTTATCCGTTATAGTGCATTACTATAACAAATAACATTATAGGGCTTTCACTTCTTTGAAATTGTTTCATTGATGATCACCATATTATGAAATGTGATCTTCAATGTGTAATGAACGAGTTGCGTTGATTTGTCATCATTTTCACGTTTGAAGTACTTTGGGTATTAAATTTATGAGATTTCGTGATATCCCAAACGAGGTGTTTAGAGAATGGTTTAGTTTACGTGATATTATGACGGCTCTATTTAGAATAGGGCTTAATTTAGGTGCTATTTAGAGGGTGCCATTTGGACAATGATTTGATTCAGTGTTATGTGAAAGATGATATCGAATTATCAAGACCTTTAGTAGAAAGAATAATTCGACAGGCTATTTCAGTGATTATGTTGTCCTTTTTGATTTTAACGTGTTGAATTGGATTCATTGTAACATCGTTAGTTGAATTGTGTGCTTAGGTCCACTCTCTAATTCAGCGATTCCTTCACAACATTGGAGTGCACAAATTTCCGTTGTTGAAAAGTATGCGATTAGCCAAATGTAGCTGATTTTTCGATGGTAAATAATACAACTGAACGAATTTATTACACGGCCACGTGTGCATATCTGATCTTTTTATTTACACATTTACATTACGGCAAGGGAATTAAGGATATGATTTTCAAATTACCTGTGTGTGTGTGCTCTTATAATTCATATCCACATCCCAGTTCAAACACCATATATTACCGAACAATTCGGAGATCAAAGAGTGAGACGTGAATGAGGTTGAGATCATTTTCAGAAAATTTCTCGTCTGCACTCCGCGATCTCGACTTCCTTTAAGCGACAGCATTTTCTATGTTTGTTCAATAGAAACTCTTTCGTCCGCATGTATCTCTTTCCATGCTCGAAACACGTCGTTTTGAAAGTTCAAAACTGTCCTTGTTGAGTCAATGGATTCCAAATAGGCCTTAATGGATTCCAAGAATCGCCTTAAATTTACTGAAAAATCTTCTAGCATAGCTATTAAATGGCCAAATTATTCTCAGTGTAGCGAAGCATGCATGCATGTTTCATGCAGTGGTAATTTAGAATCGAATACACAATTTGGACAACACTCACCAACGATATAACGATATGCATATACCCGTATAAACCGAGAACAAATTATCACCAGTGGTGAACTGTTCAGAAGTTGTGTGATATCACATTCTTGTTTACATCTGGCAAATGTCAATGAGCAGAGAATCTTGCATCAATTAATGAGTACGCATATGAACACATAGCTAGTAGATGCATAGCGATCTCAACAATCTCAGCATAAACCAGAAAAAAAAATAGACCAACGAGATAAAGAATATTCCAAACGCAGCTTTTTATGGCACAACTCAACAAAAAGTCCTACAATCATGATTTACAAGCATTCCAACGGACTTTATCGCTGGGAATTGGTTTATTGGCCACGGAAACGGGTATCCCTCAGAACAATGCGACTTCCAATTAGAGGTTTTCTCGTTCTTATAATTGTTTCAGTGAAATTCAACTCTACCGTCAAACTCAGCACCAATAAAGAGTGAGCGGTTTCTTTTTGGATGGAGACCGTTGGAATCACTTGAAAAACAATGGTGATATCTTTCTTTGTGGAAATTTTTTTGAAAGCAAGCGATCACGACGGTGATGATAGTACAATTGACGAT